TATATATATATATATATATATATATATATATATATATATATATATGTATATTTGTCTAAACCCATCATCATTCATAAACCACATCATACATTACAAGGTATTCCTAGTACTGGTGTGTTAATGGGTTATATCAGGTCTAATTGGACATTACAGTCTGTGCTGTAACGCATCCATCCATGTGACCATAAACAATAAACATCTTACAAATTCCTCAGGATGGGATTGAGATTTTGAAGACTTGAAAAGTGTCCAATTAAGCTATTTTCACTTTGCGATATTTAGCTGCATTGGTGAAGACGAAATTAGTAGGGTTAAATTAATTTTCAGGTTTAAAAGAGGGCATTTATACTTGATTTGCATGTTCTCATTCTCACAGTTTGAACCCTACATTGCCACACTACGTTTAGGAAAAGTGTAACAAGTGAATGTGTGTAGTACAATTTCAAACTAGCTCTATTATAAATCCAGCTTATTAAAAACTTGCAGTCATACTTATTTTCGTTTAAATTTAGTGCTTATATAAACAGTTATGGCGGCACGGTGGTGTGGTGGTTAGCACTGTCGCCTCCCAGCAAGAGGGTTCTGGGTTCGAATCCCGGGGGAACCAGGACCCTTCTGGGTGGAGTTTGCATGTTCTCCCTGTGTCTGCGTGGGTTCTCTCCGGGTTCTCCGGCTTCCTCCCACAGTCCAAAAATGTTAGGCTGATTGTTGGGCTGATTGGAGATTGGGGAAATTGCCCTTAGGAGTGAGTGTGAGTGGTTGTTTGTCCTTGTATGTCCTGTGTGTGGCCCTGCGATGGACGGGCGGACTGTCCAGGGTGTACCCTGCCTCTCGCCCATTGACCACTGGGATAGGCTCCAGTTCCCCCTGCGACCCCATCAGGGAATAAGCGGTATTGATAATGGATGGATGGATGGATGGATAAACAGTTATTCTTATTTCATGTCATGCAAATTCAGCTTATACTGTACTATAACCAGTACAGTAAGTGTTCCACAGCAATGCTTTTAGTTTTAACATGAATATTACAATTACCTGGCCAAAAAGGACATGGCAGCAGTGTTAGCGATGGTCACCACTCTAGAGATGTTAGGGATCTTGGAGTTTGTCTGTATAGCTCCAGATTCACCGCAGCCCAGTGAGGCATCATCTGCAGCCTGTCAGGGGAGAAAAGCTTATTATATAAATATCCAAACCTGTAGCTGTAGCCTCTCCAAAAGGGGATATCATCATGGGAATTAATGTGAGAAGGAACATGGGGTGCTTATGTGTAAGTAGGGCATATCAGGCTGAGAGCACATGAGGTAAACATACACTATCGTATTTATGAATGCAGCCAGCCACATTGGGAATAGAAAGGAATAGTTTGTGAAAGCTGTGGTGACTGATATCTAAGTTCACAACATGACTCAGAGTTGAATAGGTGCTGTAAATATCCAGCCTCTGCCTTTAATACACACACATCGTCAGTCAAGCCGCCCTGTGTAAAGCTATTCCTACAATTACACAGCTGTAGCTCTGAGGTGTGTGTCATGTACTCATGTATGACTACACTCTGTGTCTAACATGACCCAGTCAGCATGCATCTGTTGCAGCTCCACATGAAGTCAACATGAAGGCACTGAGCCTTGGCTCCCGGCCCCAGAGCCAACATCTCTGTATCGCCCCTGTCTTTCTGCACATTTCATCGGAGCTATGCCTGTTCGTAATGCAGACTAACTACAACTCAGTTCTTTTTCAGTTGCAATTTGGCCGCAAAGTGCCAATTAGTGGGAAGAAAAATCTGCCGTGGTGGTCTGGAATAAAAAATGGGATGATGGAGACCCAAAGTAAAATTGATAATCTATACTCGCATGGCCCTCTCATTCTCCTCTTTGTAACTCATAGCTTCTCGATGTGGCCTTTTTTTCTGTTTTCAATGTCCTTTCCTCTCTGCTCTCATTTCTTTCTGCATTTGTTTTCCCATGGCCATTTATTATTTCTTTTTCTTTCCTCCCCACACCCTCTATCCTTTCCTCCTGCTTCCCATTTTGCTCACTTAATTTCTCTGCTCTTCCTTTGCCCCCGCCCAGCTCTCTTCTTACGCTTCGATCTCCACATTTCCTTGTCTTGCATTATTTCATCTCAGAGGCATGAACCTCTGCTGGCCTGCCCTCAAATTGTGCCCTTCCTGCTCATGTCTTGTATAATCTGGCATACTTTCGGATGTTTTATTTGAAATTTACAGAACTTTGTCTCAGTTTTAAGTAAAACTCCCATCCCAAAAAGTGCTGTATCAATGTTATTGTATTCAACAATAACAAGATGTCACGATTTGAATAAAAGCATAAGCCCTTTTTTCCATAAGAACATATACATATCAAAACCTTGTAGTGAGGTATTTCACAACTTCGTGAAAATTATTAGCTCTTTTTCATTTCCTGTCCAAACAAGTCAATATTAGGACATAGCCTTGCTTACCACTGTGTGGCATCCTCTCTCATCTTTTAAAAATAAACTTATAAGAACACAGAAAATGAGTAACTAAACCTTTTGGAGTGGACATATCTTGCTTGGCACATCGTTTTATGGAAGATTTTAAAAGCCCTCTTTTTAATTTAAATATGTCCCAGGTGCTTCATGTTGTCTTGCATGGTACTGTATTTCTGGCAACATTATATTCTACTATATTATATGATTTAATTATTTGTAGTTTAACTGTTTCCCAACCTGTAGCGATGTTTTTGTTTGTTTTGGATTTTTTACAGACTTCTGAGAATCTCTGACTCTTAAAGCCTACGATATTATGCTTTTCTAATGTGTTCTTTTTATACCCATTCGAGAAACAAACATTTTGATACATATTTTTTTTAATAACAGTTACTTTTACCACCTTGTTTTGCCCCATTCCCAAATGTTTTTATATATGTGTTGCTGCCACTAGATTTAACATGAGCAAACATTCTTCATGAAATACTAAATATCTGACTCTCAACATTTGATATATTATGTTCTACGGTGCACACAATGTTGGTTAATTAGAATTGTTAAGCACTTCATTCTGTGTCTTAATACTCTTTCTAATTCATACATGCGACTAATGTGTGTCTTCTATGATCGAAACGTAAATGAAAAGCTCTGAGTACCTCAGTGAACATTTAACACTGGAATGCCATGTGTAAAATGTAATTGGAGCTCGCTTCCCTGCTCAATATCAAAATACACATTGATTTTAAGCTGCGATGCACTCTTGTGCCTAGTATGCAGGAAATAAATTATGTAGAGGATGTCAGTGTGAAAGGTTTTTGATGGCTTCATATTTGAGATTCACATGTATACGTTTCAAGAAATATTGCCATTGGCAACACAGACTACCTATGAATGCATTGTGTGTTAATGAGTCTCCCTTCATAGTGTTTGTCTCCTAATAGTTTTTGTATTCACAGCAAAATGACAGCATAATCAAAGCAAAGTTGATGTTGTTGGAGGTAAAATGGATAATTGATAAATGGATGATTAATAATGTATATTGTAAGTCTTCGGGTTGGCTGTGAGGGTGTAGCTCTCTATCTCAAGTGTATCTCAAGTATCCTTGGGCATGACATTGAAACCCATGACACCTACCAAAATGTCTATCGATGTATATAGAAGGAAACACTGTGACAACAATTATACAGTTCTACCAGCTGTCTCTGCATACCACACTCTATGGCTGAGTATAGTATGTAGTGTAAAAGCTCTTTGAGTTGTTAGTAAGACCAGTGTCAGCACAGTCCTTTTATCATTAAAATTAATTGAAAGTCTTCAAAATATTATATATATATATATATATAAAATTACTTAATGCTTACGTCCGCTTTAAAAAAAAGATTGTTCTTTCCAGTCTCCTTATCCAGTTCAGTGATAACCTTCATTCACTGGGGACTGGTGAAGGGGGGGTCTCAATCTGCTGCGACTTCCATCACAGTAATGCATATTTCACCAAGCACAATTTTAAATATGGCTGCCCCCCCTATTGATCACAAGGGCTTTTTGACTGGCTAGCTTTTATGAGGGGTAAATCATGACCCAATTCCATTCCATTAGCAAAAGTACTTTCAAAGAACGTGCTCAGCCGCGGGATTGAAATAGGCTCTGATCAGGTACTATGAATCATTGGCTTCGCTGACATGTGCACTCGTAAAGACATACATTACCCATATAGCTCATTAAAAGGCGGATGCTCACCAGGGAATGTGTTATATGTGGTTTAATGCTAAAAAAGGCTTTTAGGTGTACCTGATGGTAAGAATTTATGGGGTCACGGTCTGTATTAGACACAGACTTAGAAGACACCAAATGCTGCTGCTCCTCCACCCAACGGTCCATGTCGGTATTGGGGGTCTTGGGTCCCCGTCTTCTGAGGGTTTGGGGGGTCCTCTGCGGCGTTCTGGGACTTCCTGGCATGTGAGGGCTGTGGCTTTGACTGCGTGGTTGATGCACAACCCTGTCGCCATGTTTTGTCTCGGTTTGTCCTTGCACTGTGTCACTGCCGAGGCTGGCCCAGAAAGGGGGCTTGGCTACAGACTGACCACGACTCAGGGCCAAATGGATGGCCTCCTGTTTGAGCTGGTTCACGTTTGATCCACAGGCTCCACACTGGCCAAGCTCTCGCTCTCTCTCCCTGGACTCCATGTTGGATCGACCGTGGACACGAAGATTGTCATGTAGAAACATTGACAGCTCGCTTGTGTCCTGCAGAACATGAAACATAAGAACAGGAAACTCTTATAAATCGCTAGCAGGGGCATTCTTTCATTGTTATGTTCTTAAAGTTCCTGCTGTTGAACGCTAATCATGCGTATTTCCTGTAGCACATTTGGCGGCACTTATCAGTCAGTAATCCAGGTTAGAAAACTGGTTTGTCCAGAATGCTATACTGTTCATTTACAATTGCATTTTCATGTTAACAGACTCTATTCTATACATCAACGTAACATTTAATTAATAATGACAACAACTTTGTTCATTCCCAGTTGGTTTCAAGCAATAACATACTTTTGTTTAGGGTAAAAAAACATGGTTTTATAATACACACGCAATTAATGTGTTTACATGCAGTGGAATAAAAATAAATTATTTAATCTTAGTTTTTCTTGCATATATAAAAGGGATAACATAAGGATTTTTTTATTTATTCCAAACATAAGACATAAGTGATGCAGATGGACTTTCACTTGATTTTGTTTCTTACACTGACACCTCATTAGAAATAGTCTCTATGAGTGGCTGTCAAGAAGTCACTATAAAGGATGGGAGACATGGATAAAAGGCTTGTACTGTATAGGCAGAAAGACACAAGAATTGGATTTGAAGTCAGCAACATGTCAACAGCATTCCAAACATCAACATGACTGAAGAGAAGGAAAAGGCAGCCAACATCCAAACATATCTTTGGAATATACAACTGATATAGACATCTGAGCTCAGTTGTATTGCATACACTCGCATATTTCCAGTTGTGTGTGTGTATGTTTCAATACGTGTCCAAATCTATAAAGTAGTTCAATGTGTGCTTGGAACATTATTGTAATCTTACCTCTTTATCTTTTGTGTAGTTTATCTCTACACTAGCTCAGTCTCTATCAGTATGGTGCTTTAAATGATCTATTATTTAACGGGGGGAAAAAATGTGTGCGTGTTTTTTTATTCTTGAGTGATGTGAGCAGTCATTCTGCATTAACAGTTGTGTACTAGTGTGCCAGTTGCTATCTGGAGGAAAGTAAAAAGGGTTCATAATAATGAAAACTGTGACAACAGAAGGTTTCAAAAGGTCAGAATCATCCATACATTATCATAACCGCTTATTCCCTAATGGGGTCACTGGAGCCTAACCCAGTAGTCAATGGGCGAGAGGCAGGGAACACCCTGGACGGTCGCAGGGCCACACATATAGACACACAAGGACGAACAACCAATCACACTGACTCCTAAGGGCAATTTGGAATGTCCAGTTAACCTAACATGCAGGTTTTTGGATGGTGGGAGGAAGCCGGAGAACCCGGACACAGGGAGGACACGCAAACTCCACACAGAAAGGTCCTGGTTCCCCCAGGGACTTGAACCCAGAACCCTCTTCCTGTCAGGCGATGGTGCTAACCACCACACCACTGTGCCGCCAAGGTTGAAATCATTCTGTTTCCAACATGTTGACACCTGAGCGCTCACCCTGGATGACAGATGTCAAATCTAACAACACAATATCAACAATAATATTAGTTTTCCTGCTGACTCTCACAAGCCGACATCTGTCATACACCAATCCCTCCCTGCTTTTCTCTTTACCAACCTGCAGAGCGTAACTAAATAAAAGTTATTTAAAATCAAAAACTGCCTTAAAGACATCAGCTAAATGGCCTTTTGCAATTCATAATAAAATGGTGGGCATGTCAGCTCAGATAAACAAGTAAATTAATTCCCAACACCTAGTGCTTAGCGTTTTGAGTAAGGGGCATTCCACTTCATAAAGACAAGTAATCATACATTTAGGAGCATAATGTGCTTCAACAGCAGAAATTATTAATATAAAAAAACTGCTAATATCATAGAGTCATAATTTTTTCAGAAATCCCTCTGACAAAAAAAAACAAAAAAGATCTGCAAGATCTCATCTCTCTCAAACACTGTAGTCCTTCCCTGAAAAAACGTTGGGGGTCCTGGCCCATCCCACTCAAGAGGAGGAAAATAAATAGCCTTTCCTCGGACCAAACATGTCACAGGGATGTTACAATAAAATATTCATGCCCATTTAAAACCACTCACACGGGAATGTCACTGGTTTACTTTGCTAGTTGGGGTCTGAATGATGGATCGTGATGGTGATGAATGACTGGATGTGCACTACTCTAAAAGGCAGTGTGTGAGACTGATGAGATCAGACGCGGAGAAAAGCTCTCATTTAACACTTTGAACATATTCTACTTGACTCATAACGTTTCAGTTGCGCACAATACAACATTACTTAGAATCTTCTTTGACTTAAACTGTCATTAGAAACATTCATACTTTGCTCAAGCAGTTCCCAAAACCCTAAATACTGCCAAAGGACAATAGCAGACAATAAAAGTTGTCAATTTTTTCCAGTTCAGACTGAGGCAGAAACCAGTTTGAAATGAATTCATTCATTTTGAAAATTAGGGAATATCTGCATTAGTTTTTGTTGCATTGGATTGTTTCATAAAAGCAGGATGTCCCCTTTAAATGTTTTAAGGCACAGTTATGGTTATAGTGTGTTATCCTTCTTTTCTTTTTTCAACAAACCTATCAGAAGTGTCCTCAGTGCTCAGTGTCCGAGATTTGGATTATGTAAATTTGTTTACTGACCCCATTCATTGTTTATTTTTTCATGTAATATTTCATTTTTATACAAAAAAAGGGGAACCGATCATCCTAAAAGTATGCTTTTGCCATGCACAAGCTTCATCACAGCCACTGACCTTGCAGGAGAAGTGATGGTGGACGGCCAGGCTCAGCGCCTGTTTCTTGAGAGCAACAAGGGTCGCTGAGCACTTCTCGCAACACGCAACTTTCCGATCGGCCCTGCCAAAGACCGGAGTCCCGGAGCCTCTGCACAGGGTCCCGCTTCCAAAAGGCACGGCGCTCCTGAGGCGGTCCCCCGCGGAGGACGGCACATCGTCCGTTCTCCGGTACATCATATCGGCCCGGGACCCTCCTGCGCCCTCGGGAGAGGGGCGCTGCTTGAGTCGGCAGTCTCCTCCGGGGGTTTTCCCAGAAAACCCGACGATTCCGCAATGATGATGCGCTTCTGAGATCTGAAGAGTCATAATAATCATCATAAAGAGGATGTATGCGGGCTTTGGCGGGGGGGAAATTAAATCAAAATCGACGCAGAGAACCATAACCACACCCAAATGTTTTTTCTTTTCTGTTTTTTTTCTTCTTCCCCAGTTTAACATTAGGCTCTTAATATGAAAATCCACAAACTGTGAAGTTATATGTATGTGAGCATAAATGTGAATAATTTTTTTTGTTTAAGTCCAACTTACCCCGTGCGCTCCCCGGGTCGAGGCAGCAAATCTTTCTCCCGGTCCAGTCACAGATGACATGACAACTTGTAAATATTTAAAAAGATGTTCGAACAAAGGCAGGGGGGATCTTTATTCCATTTATCCAAAGTCACGGCAAAGCGCAGCGCAAAATGGCAACTCATGCTCAAAATTGAAAATAACCTTAAAGTGAAACGGTTGAAGACTCCTCGTGAGGAGACGGGGTGATGGCAGAGGCACGGAGGAGCAGAAGTGAGCAATTCAAGGAGCACTTCATGAATTCATGAACGTGGCTGTTTATTCTGACCTCCTTTGAGAGGCAGTAGGGAGCAACTGTTCAGCCACACACGCAAACGCATCCCTAATATTGAGTGAGTGATTTATTACTTTTCAACATAATGGTGCATAAACAGTCAATGCCCCATAAGTGCATGCGCCCTCATGCATCAGAGTGGTCAGTTAAACTGGTTTCTATTCACTATTTATCTCAAAGGAGGTGGTGTGAAAGCTTCATAACAAATGTGTGATCGCCCATTTCAGTATGTTTAATATTACTATCTCGGGGATGAAATGGGATAGAAGTCTAAAATGTCATGTGATGAATGGCACTTGATGTGGAAATAGCACTTTAAAATAAAAAATTTAAAACAGATTTTAAAAACACAGGTAAGATATCAAATAAAAAATAGGTGTTTTCATTTAATCGATGTATTTCTTGGACATGTACACATTTTTAAATTAACATAATATCAGAGGGATGTTACTTTTCCATGCATTTTTTGCTTGATCTTTTTTAAAAATTACTTTTATTTATCATTTTGCTTCTCCTATCTCCAAATTGCTTTTATTTCTCTACCAAGAGAAATGGGAAATGGGGGTGGCAGGTGATGTGCCTTCAGAGATTACTCATAGGAGGAAGAAAAAACAAAGGAGTAAAAGTAAAATGGCTCAGTTTTAAAAAACTATTTAAATAGCAAAAAAAAGAATTATGACATTTCAAAAAGAAAAAAGTGCATTAAAAGCCCTATCGATACATGTTACTCGTTTTAAAATCTGTTTGTGCATGTTTTCTGAACACAAAAGTCAAAGTATCCTCTCTTAATTGATAATTTAAAACAATTTCAATAGTTCCTCACAAAATAACAATGATAAATGTATAATGCATTCAATCCATACATCTGCAAAAAAACACAAATTAACAACTAGAACACATGAGTCTTGAGTAATAATAATAATAAATAATAATAATTTGATTTCTTCAAAGCAAATTTATTATAAAGAGGTAAGCAAAAAAATTTGATCATATTTTTTTTTTCCCGGTTCTGTGTAGATTAAAAAGAAGTTGGGTGAATGACAACAGATGTATAAGTTTTGTGCATTTTTAATGAAAGAAATAAGTTTGAACCTTTTCATTGAGAAATTTAAAAGCAAACTGGATAATGCGAGTGTATTATGGTCCATCATTTTATTTTCATATGTAGACAAGTAAACTAATTCTGGTTCTGGAGTGGATGATAATTCAAGCCCATTTAAAGGACTATAGTTCAATTGTGTGTAATGAACGTGAATAGGACCCAGAAGCAACCAGAGGCGAACGGTCAGTTCAAACAGATTTATTTGCAGACAGGGGCTCGGCAAAGGCGTGGTCAGAACATTCCAGGTTCGGTAACGGGTGGTCCAGGCAGCGCAGATAATCCAACTCGTGGTCAGGGGCCGATCGAGGGTCAAAGCCAGGGGAGCAATCCAGGGGAGCAGGCGGGAGCACGTAGTCAGGCAGGCGAGGTCGGAACACGGGGAGGCAGGCAGGATCAAGAGACTGACGGAGCAGATCTCAGGCAGGCGGACTAAACAGACAGGGAGTAGGCAAGCTCGGGAGTCGGAGTCAGACGGGTCGTAATCAGGCAGACAGAAACAGGATATAATGCTGGAAGTACTCACACAAGGCTCGATACGTTCTGGCATTGATTTCTGGCAGGCACGGAGAATATAAGGAGGTGGGAACAGGTGAGGGTGATGAGCACTGATTGCGGTGTGAGTAGCTGAGCAGGTGTGCAGGTGGGGGTGGAGCCAGCTCCAGAGCTGGGAACATAACA